TACTACTGGTACTACTGTTACTACTAGCACTGCTGGCACTGCCAGCACTCCTAGTGCTCCTAATATTTGGCTGGCACTAAAGACTATCACTACCACCATCATGAAATACTGGTACTTCACTGCTGATACTCATGCCAATCCTTCTGCCAATGCTAGTAAGACATATAACTAGTACTCATATGCCCATACCCAGACGAATACCAATACCGACTAATGCAAATGCCAGTACCCAATGGCCACCATTCTCGTACTAGCATCAAATCGTGTGCCATCGCAGGAAGGATGCTGGGAAAAGCACTGGACTGTAATCAGAAATCCTGTCGACTTCAAGTCATTCACCCGGCATCCTGGCACCTGACAGTCAAATTTCTGCATGCCGGGGTGACCACGGGCAGCGAAGCTGCTGGAGCTGCCTCCTCTCAGGACCCACAGGTGTTCATCTGCAGGATGCAGGGCTGGGGTCAAGTCTGAGTCCAGTTTCCCAAGTCCGCTTCTTTTGTCTTACCAGCATTGCTTGTCTCCAAGCCAACACCCGCGCTCCCCGGCAGCTGGNNGTGGCTGGCGCCGCCTCATGTTTCTCGCTTTTACAACTTGAAAGTCCTTTTTTGAGGCAACGCATTGGCTTGGACACGCCTCGCTCTCAGGGCACTGCAAGAAAGACACCGGCTCAGAAAGCGCCTGAGGCCCTCACAGCCGGAGCCTCCGCAGCAGCCGGGGCGGCGCCATCCGCTGGAGCCTCGCCCCCGGCCGCCTGCTGCCTCGCATACGGGTGCTGAGAAGAGACATTCAGGCTGAGGGGTGGGTTTTCGCGGATTCCCGGACAATTGAAATAATCGTGGGGCGCGTGATGTGCGGAAAACAAGCTCCGGATGAGTACATCAAGCCACGAAGTCTACTCCACAAGCTTTTCATCAGGCTTCTCACTCTTAGACACTGAAACCCCCACATCCTGCACCCTACACCTTGAGCTCAAAAACCCCAAGGCACACTTGATGCCTGGCTCTTTCCTCCTCCCTGGAGAGGCGGAGTGCCAGGAACAGCTCCTGGATAACCCAAATAAGCAATGTTGTTTTGACGATGTGTACGCAAGTAATCATGTAAGCAAATATGTATATATGTACATATGTACATATTTATGTATGCATGCGAAGCCTCCCGACACCCCTGGCTCCGGATCATCGTTGGGATTGATGCCAAACTCGAATCCGGCATCACCGCCCTCGCCGCCCATGGCTGCTGCCTGCCAGCAGTTTTCGTCTGGAGAAACAGTCGTTTTCAAAATTCAACCGCCAAGACATGCAGGACCTAGCCATTCCGAACAAAATAACACAAAATATGTGCCGTCGATTGAGGCATCTCAGAGAGCTTGAAAGCAGGGTCTTCGCGATGAGATGGGATGCTCATTTATGTCGGCCAGAGATTTCCATCTCTGATTGCCTATCGTAAGCAGAAGAGACGATGTGGTCCCCGTGCCAAACCTAGAAGCACATGCAAAAAGGATTCAGAGGCAGTGGCAGTGTAGTTGATATAACAAATCGGAGAAGAAGAGCTCACATAGGCATCAGTCGTGCATGTTGCTGCAATATGCCTCTCAACTCCAGTTTCGCCCCCAATAAGAACAAAGGCTAGAACACAGTCGCTGACATGGATGAACTCATTATCTACAGTATAATCCACCGAAACAACCAGCGTACACTAAGATCAGCATGTATGATTGGCGTCGACTGCCGAACATGTAATATTGAACCATGCAGCACATACTGGCCTTTGTTGAAACATGATGCACAAGAAACCTAAACGATAGTGATAGTGAGGACGTGAGCAATAGGAACATATAACTTCATACAACATGCAAACTTGACTCTTTTGCTCAAAGGGTCAGGTACAGACATGCCTTCATGCATGCATGCACGCACGCACGNNNNGCACGTACGTACGTACGTACGTAGGTATGTCTGTATGTATGTATGTACGGATGTATGTAAGTACGCATGCACGCATGCACAGGGGCAGCGTGCATGTATGTACTTGTGTATCATACATACGCGCATGAATAGCTACATACGTACGTACATACCTACATACATACATATATACAGACATACCTTCCTGCCTGCCTGCCTGCCTGCATGCATGCCTATGTACATTCATGCATACGTGTTTGCTTGCGTGCAAGCATGCTTGCAAACGAACATGCATGCATTCATCCATATAGCCATACATCCGTACATCTGTAGAGTCTGTAGATGCATGCATACATACATACATACATACGTACATACATAAACACACACATACATCCATCCATCCATGCATGCATGCATGTATACACACACATGCATGCGTATACACACACATGCATGTGTATACACACACACACATGCATGCATAAACACCAGATTGTGCTGCACGCGTCGTACTCAAACTAGTTGAACTTCTGCATACAACCGACATATATGGCCATGTACGATTCCCATCTCTTATTCACAAAAGCATACCGTTGGAAGTACACATCACAGTACTACTAGTTTCTGAAGCAACATTAAGACTAGTAAGGACTGGTAACCATGCTCGAGGGAGAAGAAATCAGCAATAAACATAGCCATACTTCAGAAACAGCCAGTTCGGCCTCTCCGTCGGGGTTGACGATGGGCGAAGAGAGGAGGATGTCGCTCAGCAGCTTGGGGCCTACTGGTGCCTCTAACCTGAAGCAAGACGAACAGGCCGTCGGGTCTGTTAGCTGAGGATCAGGGTCGCAGACGAAGCTTCATTATTTACAGGTAGGGGACTGTCAGGTAGCAGAGATTCCACATGCCAACGCTGACAAAACCTCGTCAGGGCTCTGTAAGTAGCACTCACTACTGCGATTACTGCTACTACTGCTACTACTACTGCCCCTCCTCCTCCACCAGCTTACTACTAGTAGCCGGGGGAGGACAGCACTAGTACTGTCACTGGCCCGAGCAATCGCAGCAGGCCCTACATTCACTGCATAACAATGATTCGCAAGCAGCCCTCAATAGCAGCCCCGGCGCCTGCAGCGCCACGAAGCAGTAACGTTAGGTCTGATAGATCAGGCTTCTTCATCGAAGCCACTGATGGACCCCCAGAAAACTTTGACCGGCCCAAACCTCCCTCACCCTGGACACTATGAGCCCGGCAGATGCGACGTGTCTTCGCTGTTCAAGGCCTTCATCAACTTTTCTAGCTTCGGTGCCTCGGAGATGCGAGACTTTCACGAAGCGAGGGTTGACAATACCTGCATGTGCCCAGTCCACAAGCAACCCTGAGACTGAGCATAAGGATCATAAGCATAACAAACACCAATACCATAATCATCGCATGGACAAGAATGCAGACGCATCATTGATACAGCCATGAGAAGGACAGCGCAAGCGCCTCTACAGCTGCAGCTGCAACCACTGCTTTCCACCCACGGGCAGCAGCCGGCAAACACGTCACAAACACTATCAAAAACGCCGTAACACATCGAACGGCAACGTCCAAAGCCTTGCATAGCTCAGCAAGCACTCCTCAGCAGGGCCCAGGCATTTTCCTCCACCTCGCCAAAGCTAACGAGATCCAGGGCTACACCTCAGACGTCCGAAGAGAACAAGAACATGAGGGTTGCACGAAAGGAGTATCCCTGCTGAGCAACCCCCGACAAAATCGACCTACAGTTTGCAGGCAGCGCATAGGTGGTGCAACGGACATGCCGTAGTTCAAGCACCAAACCATCGGATCAGAATCGTTCATCAAAGGTTGCCCAACTGATCGTGAAAGAGCATCGTTGAAGATACATTGAATAAAGCAGTCGACATTACGGACACCATATCGTTTGTCCTTACAACGCCTTACAAGAGAGTAGCCGCTTCAGATCAAGGAAGAAGCCAGAAGAAGGCTTCGCGATTCCAACAAACGAGAAAAATCAGCAAGCGCACATTTATCCAAACCACACGACCACAGCCCCACAAGCCGCACACCTGCAATGTAAAAGCATCGATCATCCCGACTTTTCACTAAATCAAGAGGCCTCCGTGACCTAGTCCAATGGAAAATTCACGCCAAATCCACACGGCACAGCATGACACCCTAATGAGACTTTCGAAGACGAAAACTTGCACAACCAAGCCACATCCCCACCACAACACCGGGCTTGCTGGGGGCTCTCGAAGAAGGACCGGTCTTAGGAGATACTCGGGTATGCCAGGACAGCGAGGCCTGCCGATCAGACGAACACCTCGAAACTTACAAGACCCCCAGGCACCGAACCCAGGCACCGAACATGCTTGAACGAAGAGGGGTTGGATAGGACTTGTGTGCAATCCTTACCCTGCCTTCTCCCCTAAAGTCAGATCCCATACTGCAGCAAGGGGGCTATTCTTCTTCAGGTTCTTGCCCAATGTTTCAAGCTCCTTCGTCCAAGAATACTTGTCGACTTCGGGATACAAATATTTCGGGATTCGGGCTGTCTGAAGTGAAGTCAACCTGCACGCTGTCGCTCAATGAAGCATCAACATTCTGCTCCGCGGCTCTGGCAGTCTTGAACCGACGCCCCTACATGGATGAGGCCGAACCGGGGCTATGTGCGTTCTGAACGCCGAGCTCCTTTTCCGTGGCAGTTACCGGGCTGCCAACGAATGCGATGATCCTTTTGCAGCTTCACGGCTTCAAGGTGAAATCAGGTCCGAGCTTCCCAAGGTTGAACTAACTACCTTGGAAGTACATGCATCGAATCATTCGCTACATACATCCCTCCAGACATGCACACATGCAAAATTATCAAAGATACATACAAACATACATACCCTGTCTTTCTGTCGAGGGTCTAAGGCAAACTGCACCGTACCTTCGCTCATCGTGCTCAGTGCCCGAGCCCTTTATGACGAATCTTCTAGAGCAGGATCTTGGCGTTTGACTGACTACACCTGACCCAAACATTGGATGATGCACGAGGACAGGCAATGGCCAGAATGAGAGCAAGTGGCAGTGCATCTAACACTGCTCACAGAGCCCTGCCTCTGTTTCTGCTTCTTGTTTTGCCTGTGCTTCAGGGCCTCAGCAAGGTCCATGGGGAGGGTTTGAGAGCTTCAGTGTTTCAGGAAAACTTAGAGTCGATCCAGGACGGACACTCCACGGTTTGGCAAAAAGCGTAAAAAGTCAAACAGGCTTGAGCGGCTCAGGATTTTTGTTGTCGTCTTCGGCTACTCTCTCGGCCCGAAGCGGCCCGGGACGGCATGGAGATTTTAAGTCCCGCACGAGCTGCGCTGTCTGAATTGCTCGGAGAAGATCGGAGCTGCCACCTGTCATGTCTTTCGAGTTTGGGGTTTTGGGGCTTGTGGTGCAGGGTTTGGGGGTCAGCTCCCCGTGCTCGGAGCAGCCCGTCCCGCAACAGCCCGAAGCGTTCTCCAACACCAAGCGGACCCTTCAAGAAGGCAGATAGATAGCTGGCATCCCACTCACACAACTTGAAGTTACATCGATTCGCCACAGATCCTCTAAATCCAGATTCAAGCATGCAGGATTTCGGCCTATCTGAACTCTGTTCAGCTCAGTCACCTCAGAACATGTTGTTCTGCTTCGCTCACGTCATTTGCAGTAGTCGCTGCCGGGCGTTAGGCTTGGGCTTCAATGTCTTGGACCCTGAAGTTTTCCATACAAGCATAGATGGTCAGGATGTGGCTCTCATCCACGGGCAGCTGTGGCTCCCGACCAGTCTTCCCAAATCTGGGGTTGGGGTCACCATGACCTGGAAGGGATGACTTGCTTAGGACTTAGACAGAGCGGGCCAGGGTTCAAAACCAACCGTACCTTCTCCTGGCGACATGACTGCAAAACAATGGCATTAAGCGGCACAGCAGATACAGTCATAGTCGTCGTCGTACGAGTACCAGCACCAGCACTGAGGCGTTTAAGGGAACATGCACTACAGGGGGTATTGTTGTGGCCCTCCAGCTGCTCGAAAGTAACTGAACAACGCAATCACTGGCAAGAAATGGTTCGTCAACACGTTGATTCACCTCCCACAGTCTCAAGGGAAGCTGTAAAATCGTTTTTGCTGAAACATAGTAGACGCAAACGAAAAGCCTGCCGAAAGACATCAAAACTTGGCAAATACGTTGATGGATACCTGATGCTCAAACCATATCATATAGGAGCCTAAAGAAGAAAAGTGCTCTATGAAAGACAATGAAAGCTTCAGTTCAAACAAAGCCTGACTACAAGAACGAGCGGACTATCGATTTGCAAGCTGCCTCGATCCGGTCTCCGGCACTAGCCAGGATGCCAACGGCATTCTCTGGATTCTGGTTGGTCCTGGCTTACTCCGAAGGGCCAACACAAGGGCTTCCGGGATCCACGAAGTCTCTCAAGGTCGGGAGGAACAGGGCAACTCCTTGAGGTCTGCAGCTTTTGGCTTGGTACTCTGGGTTTTGGGCTCGTGCCGTGCCAGAACGGGCTTCCAGGGTTTCAGGCTTTGCATCAGCATAAAACGGTAAAGCCTTTCAAACAAACTTGCCGGCTGCACTTTGCACCACACAACAGGTTGGCTGCATCAGTTTGTGAGTCGAAGCGCGTGGGCATGTAGTCGCCATTCCTGCAAGGTGACGGGCAGGTGCACCACTCCAGATTTCTCTACAAGCCCTTTATTCCCACCTCGTAAAATCCGAATTGTCAAGGCAGATCATCACCTCGGCTTCTGGGCGGGGTGGCTCAACTTCATGTTAGGATGCTCGGAGGTAGGGATCAATGGGCTGATGTGCTCCGATCTTCCATCGATACTACAGCTGCCTTTGTTGTTGAGAGGTGCAGGACGTTCGCTCGGATCTCAAGTCTACGATCCTTCCCAGGGCTAGACGCAAGCGTCGCTCTTTTCCACGCGCCCACTCTCCACAGCTGTCCAGCCCCGACGCAACCTCAAAGCATTTCGTCAGAAAGCCCTGACTGACCTCGCATATCCCTTCAACCCGTGTACGCCGTATACTGCTGTATACTGCCGTGTACCACGGGAAGATAAGAAGAACCCTGGGCTCTGGACGAGTCTCGGGCTGGTTCAAAGCGGGCTTGGGGATCGGGTTCTCTCTTCTCGAAACCTACGGAGGCCAAAAAACACAGAGTGTGTATCGGAATTCCTCACACCCCGAACCTTTGCAATCTGCGTAGTGTTCCCCTGAAAGTCTTATGCACCTGCAGTGTTTTTTGCGGGCCGGTTTTGTGGCTGTGGAAGGCTTCACCGGACTCGGCCCCTCAGAAGGCTCGCTGTGGAATGGTCCTCCACCACCCTGGCAGACCATGCTGGAGAGTTTGGGTTGCAGTTGCAGGCCGTGAAGCTTATACCTCATCAGGCTGGGTTTTGCTCTCTTCCACTGATAGGAGAGAGGGGATGTTTTCATGTCCGATCCAAATCGAGCCTATTCTCTGGAACCACTGGATCGTGGCATTAACGAGCATGCACCGTCTTGTGGGTGCCAAGAGCTTCGCCCTCAGTCGCTCGGTCGTGTTGACACGGAGCCATGCAGCAGCTGCTCTTGACAGAGCGATGCCTTCTCAGCCTCCAAGTTGGCCAGCGCGGCGCAGAGCACGGTGCGCTCTGCCTCTGTTGCGACAGCTGCCTTTGACCGGGCTGCGCAGCAGGCCTCCGCCTCCTCGCGGGTTTCCTCAGCTTGGGCCGCCTTGAAATCAAGTGCCTTAGACACTGCGGCCATGCGGCGACGCAGCTGCTTCCGCCGCTCCTCCAGCTCGGCATCGGCACGCTCAAGACCTGCTGCATGCGCCGCGAGCTGGTCGAAAGCCTCCTCCTTGCAATGCAACTCCTCCCGAAGCCGAGAACACGCTTGCGCCTCGTGGCTCGATGAAAGCTCGAGGCCCTGCACCGACACCTTCACCTCCCGGCACTCCTCTTCCAGCTTCGAGCACAGCTCCGCACCCATCGCTGCTTCCGCTCGCAGTGCCTCCTCCAGCCGTGTCCGCAGCGCTGCGCCTCGCTGCAGCTCCTCTGAGCGCTGATGTCCCCTGGCGGCGGCCTCCTTCTCGAGAGGCTCAATGGACAGGCGGAGCTCCATGCAGAGCTGCGCTTGGTTTTGGCAGGCGGCGCGGGTCTCCCCAAGGCACGCCGCGCCTTCAGGCAAAGAGGGATTCTTTCCAAGCTGGGTCAGCTTGGATGTCCAAATCTCCAGCTCTGGCTTGGCCTTGTCGATGCTCTTGTGGATGCTGTTCTTGAGGTACTCCACCAGCACCGGCGCAATCCCTCCGGAGAGGTCCAAGTCCTTGGCTTCACCATCCCGGAGAAAATGCTCGAGGCGAGTGCTCAGCCGATGGCAGGACCCCTTGGAAAGTCCTGCAGCCCTCAGCTTTGCCCTGCCTTGCACCTCTTGCAACGTGCTGGAAGGTGAGCTTTGCACCTCAGCCGCCCGAGCCGGCCGAGCAATAAAAGCCTCGTACTGCGACAGCTCTTGCTCCGCAATGCGCGTTTCGACGAGGCACAGCTCACGAACGTGCTCGACCTCACAGCGAACTACCTTCTGTGCTGTCTCGGACAACCCTGTGGCACTCGTCGGCTGTGCATTCTCTGCCTTGGAACTCCGACTCGTTGCAAGGGTGGTCACCAGCTTTTGTAAGTGCTGACCATCCAGCTGTGCCAGAGCTTGCCGGTGCACCTTCTTCAACTCGGCATGCTCCTCGTTAGCAGCTCGAAGCTCCTGCAGTACACTATCAGTGTCGGCAAGGCTTGGCTGCGAGAGCTGGAGTTGGTAGTGCTCGACGAGGGCAGAGAGCTCCTCCGCCTTTCTTGCACTCGAAAGCGCCTCTTGCTCCAAGCTCCGGCAGCGGTCCCAAGCGGCAGCCACCTTGGCAGAGAGCGCCGTCTTTGCCAGCTCCAGCTTTTGCACGCCGGTGTCCGATCCTCCGGTATCACACAGAGAGCCCTGGCCCTCCCCGCTCTCTAAAGTTAAAGTCTCAGCCTCAGCTGTCTGAGTCTCTGTCTCCTCACCATCCAAGCGGCTCCGAAGAGCTTGAGCCAGAGCTGAGACTTCCACGGCTGTTCGCCGCAAGCTGGCGACAGACGCTCCGATCGAGTGTATCTGCCGATCCGTGTCTTCGCATATCTGCTTTTTCTGCTGGATGCGCTGAGAAAGATCTGCACATACGCCCTTGGCCTTCTGTAACTGCTTCTGCTGCTTGCGTAACGACATTTGCCTGTGCTTGCTGTCTTCCGCACGCTTCTGTGCCACAGTCGCCACTTCTGCCTTGGCCTCATCGATGAGCTGCTGCAATCTTTGCCGCAGCTCTCGCTGCTCACTCGCGTGCTGCCGCGCAGAGTCCTCAGCCCTCTTGGCTGCCTGGCGGAGCTGCGCCGCCTCTTCCCTGACCTCGGCAGAGCGAGAGGCGGTTGAGCTCTCTGTGCGCCTCTCCAGTTCTGCCTGGCACTCGCTTAGGAGGCCCTCGGCCTGACGTGTGGCCAGCCTCTGCTTGCGCATCGCCTCATCGAAACTTTTCTCCAGCTCCAGCGCGGCCTGTTCGGCTTCCCGGTCCTGCTGGCGCCGCCGCTGTCGCTGCCTCTCCCGCTGCAGCTCTTCCGACACAGTCCCATGCGCAGAGCTGGCCCCAGGGCGGCTGGAGCTTTGCAACGTGCGGTCACTGCGGTCGCTGTGGTCGCCGGCTACGGAGCCGAATCCGCTGCGCGAGGACTGCGCGTCCAGAAGCCGTCGGCTTTCGACGATGGCCTGCCTGGCCTGGCTGGCGATGCGGTCCACGTCTTCACCTTACACGCAATGTACACTGGACAAATCATTGGCTCTCGGACTCCAAAGCCCTCTATACAAGGTGAAGCTCCAACACTGAATTCGAGACGCGGCACCTGCTTCGGAAGAGGGTCGCCGGCCCAGCTCGTTGGACGGCCTTGACGCACTCGGAGTCTGGTCGGGCTCTTTGGCCAGCGCCATGGTCAGAGAACCAAGGCTTTCAACCAACAAGTTACAGTTTGCTCTTTCAGGGTTCTGGGTTTGTAGGAAAGGCTGTGTGATGGCGGGCTGTGTGGCTCATGGAAGTTGGAAGAGATCCATGCACAGGAGCCGAGCATCGCACCCTTCACCCCAGCTTTCAGCAAACTCGGGACCGAAGGGATGACTCTGGCAAACAGCTGGTATTTCGTGCTGGAGGATGGCACTACATTGATCGAGCGCATGTTCATGCACCCGGCTTAAAGCGCCTAACCTGCCAACAGACTCCACTGCCTTCTGCGCCTCACCGGGGTGTCTCCTTGGTGAGGCAGGAGCAAGGGCTGGAGGGACTCTATCAGGCACACGATAATTTGAACATACCGAACCCGGCCCTTTCCGGAGCTTCGGCACGTGTGGTAGACGTCTCGTGCCTGGTAGGATAGCAGGCAAGCGGCTATGCGGATCTCTCCAGGGTCGTTGTCCCCTGGCGGAAGCACGAACTACAAATACGCAAGCATACACAGATAGCCGAACGCTGCCCCAATAGGGGTGGATATACGTCAAGAGCTTTCGAGCCAGGCGGGCAACCGCGACTAGGAGAGAAACTGCCGAAGTGCCTTCTTCAACTGGCGGAACAGCAGCGGCCTCGGTCCGCTTCAGCCACTGTGAATGCAAGAGTGCAGTCGTCGAGGCACTGTAAGCACATAAAACTGAAGGCTGCTTTAGCTGAAAATTATCATGCTTCAAGATTTGCGAGATGTGGGAATACGGGTTCAATGCCTGAGGTCTGCTTGGCATAAAGCACTAGGGCTCCCCAAAGAGTGAGTTCTCCAGGGGTTTCGGGATGAAGCGAGCACAAACAAACACGCACACAAATTCTGGGCACACATGTACGTCTGCATGCATGTTCGTGCATGGATACAACGATCAACAGAGAGAGATGGAGACGCAGCGAAAAAGAGTGGGAGGGACGTTGGTATTTGCACGGTTGCCCAGAAAGTGGATACCTGCTGCTCATTTTCTGTGCACATCGCTGTAAACACTGGATGCATGCATGCACGTATATACACATATACACATATGTCTCGGTGTATCTATACTCCTTCACCGACTGCACCTTCCATACAACCCACAAACTCAACAAACCCAAATGGAAGATGCTTCACCTCACGTAAGATCAATGTTGAAGACCCCAGCCGTAGGACAGACACTTGGGAAGTAATCGTGAATCAATACATGTCAGTAGAATGTACATGCCTTACATATAATATGTACATATGTACAAAAGTATGTATGGAGTTTGTGATCTGTCTACACACACAGCCTTTGCATCCATCCATACGTCCATCCGTCCATCCATGAATACATACATACACATACCCTGACATGCACATAGACAAAATATGTGTGCATGCGCACACACATACACAGAAACACATACACGTGCATGAACGCATCCAGACAAACATTTACACACCAACAAACGCGTACATTTCTTTCATACCGAAGTGCACAACTGATGCATGCACATCTGCTACATACAGGTAGACTGATAGCTAACAGACAAACAGACGGACGGACGGACGGACCGACACTGAGAGAGTCAAGCACATAAACAAATAGCTAGATAGACAGATGCAGGCTTACGTATTTTAATTACAAGGCAAACTAAGCTGCTTAGTGCACATGGACGTACATGCTCTATGTACAAAACCGCATGACTGCAAGCCTGGATGCATGCGTGCACATACGGACATCCATATACATATATACATAGATATACATAGATATACAT